AGTCCCAAGTCCCGAGCAGCTAGCTACAGTGTTTCTCGATCGTGCGTACAGCAAGTCAATCAAGATGCTCAAAGTCGCTCTGGACGGGAAAATTGTGACCTTGGTCACGGATGGAGGGACAGACATCAATGGCCTTGCTGTTGTGAACTATGTCGTCGTTTGCGGGGAGTACACGTTTTTTTTTGAGAGCGTCTACACCGGTACTCAAGCGCAAGATGCCGAGTTTTTGGCAGCGGACATTGAGCGAGTTATTGCCAAATACGATTTTCTCGAGGTCGGCGCCGTGGTGACAGATAATACTAACGCGAACAAGGCCGCTTGGGAAACTTTGCAAAACAAGTTTCCCAAAACTTTCTTCCACGGCTGCGTCTGCCACGGCCTACATCTACTAGTCAAGGACATCGTAAAAAAGGTAAAATGGATGGATACTTTGCAGAGTGGATGTAAGGAAATGGTTACCTTCTTCAAGAAGAATCACAAAGCGTGGGCAGAGCTTTCAGCACAGCTTGAAGAGAAAGATCTACAGGTTCTCGCTAAGCCAGGAGGCACAAGATGGGGATCCCTGCTGAAGTGCTTCGAGACTGTACTGGCTGCAGAGGCCATACTATTCTCTCGTGTGTCAGCCCGCGGATTCCTGAAGGCGAAGACAAAAAAACAAAAAAAGACCCGCCGTGGCGTCCATACTCTAGTGACATCGGCTGAATTTGTGCCTCGCTTAAAGAAGGCTATCGCCATCCTTAAGCCAATTTCGAAGGCGCTGAAGTTGTTTGAGAAGAACGTCACACCAGTTTCGGAGGTTTACCAAGTTTTTGTCGACCTACCGAACGAGCTAAAAGCTACAGGACTCACTGCAGCCGAGTACAAGAGCGTGGATGCGCTCGTCAGCTCGCGATTTGAGTTTATCTACGGAGATGCTCACGGCATTGCGTATAATCCCGGCCACCAAACCTTGGACAAACTTTGGTCCAAAAAAGGTAACACTTCCCTTCAAAAAACCCATAACGATAGTTAGATATAAGGGGTAAAATCGGGCGTAGATTCCGATTTTGAGGTCTATTTTTGCGTATCTACCAATGGTTGCAACCATTGGTCTCCCAATCGGCCGTTAAAAAAGGGCTCTATATCTTGCAGAATTGTTTGCAATTGTGGGCTTGTCACGTACTAACATGCATACATATTCATTGGCAGAGCCGGGATAATAGTTGGGGATTTTCAGAACCGGATGGATAAATTCCAAATATTACCGCAATTTGACGATTGTTAGAAAAATATAAACTTGTTAAAAAGAACCCGTCAAAAGAATATCTAGAGTGTAAAGAACATACAACGGGTCACCCGTTCATATTCCTAATCGGCTACAGCTTTCATTTTGGACCTTCCATCTGTCATAATTAATTTGTCGACCACTGAAATGTTAAACATCAATAATAACTGAAATGATATGAAGTACAGCCTACCGAGGTGAAATCCTTGTCGTGGTGCTGCTCCCAGTGCGCCCATATAGCTGAAATGGTGCCCGTAGCAAAGCCTAAACACTCTTTGACATGATAACGAACTCCTTCTTTTCATAGATGCGGTGCAGAGGCCTTCTTTTGGCGGAGGAACTCGTAGGTCTTCACAACCAAGAACTTCACAGCAGCAGTCAATTTCTTACCGGCGGGCATTTGAAGAGTAGTGAACATTATTAGATGCTGTGAAGTTCTTACGAGAATAAATAGACACCAAGCTATCTATTAAGGGGACACACAACGAAATCGGTTCTACGGTTGCGGAGTTACATTCCTCTAATTTAAGATATAATATATTACCATTTTTGTCCAAGCCTTTTTGGCCGGGATAATACCTGTTAGACCCACGCTATGCTGGGATTGACATGGATGCTTCTCTTCGCAGCGCTGTCGAGGATTTTGTTGTACAATGGCATGATGAGGAGAAAGCGGACGCAGTGATCGTGGAGTTGTCAGCTTATCATCGGCATGTCCGAGATCTGAAAGTAACGCAACCACGACAATGGGGCCTACTCTGTGAGCGCAAGATCCCGCTTTTCGACTTCTGGTGTGGACTGAATAATCTCCCTTTGCTGCAGGACATAGCGCTGCGTCTGTTTCGCTGCGCGGCTTCTAGCGCTGCGTCGGAGCGCAACTTCTCGGCTCACGCCTTCATTCACTCTAAACTACGCAACCGGTTGGCGCCTGATCGGGTGGAGAAGCTAGTACATATTTTCATCAATGCGAAGAATATTTGTGATGAAGACATTGAGCGCTACTCGCATCTGGAAGACTTACTACGGGTGTTTGTAGAGGAAGATGAGGAAGAGGACACCGGGACGAGCAACCAGAGCGACGATTTTGTATATTGCTAAATCTATTAATAGAATGTAGTTACTGAAATATTTGTTTTCTAAATCCTTACAAACTTCTAATATATGAAATTACCAAAGTTGACACTCTTAATTCACAAACTTCACAGTAGTGATTTTGCTCTGCACAGCAGGGTGGGATGTGCAGGTCTATCGATGCAAACAGTGTTTGCGGATTGACCATTGCAGAATGCCGTGGCTTTACGCCCCCTATACCATACTGAGCGCCCAATCAACGACTGCAGTGCACTGTACAAAAGTACGTCGGGGTTTTGATGCGATCGCTCACAGTTCTTCGGCCCGTCGCCCCCTGTGCTGAAGCAAGGAAATTTAAGAGTGATACCTGATTGGACCTCGACCAAGTTCTGGAGCTCGAGGCGATATGCTATTTGATGGATGGACTAGAGATTGATAAATCTGGATTGATAGAGGAGAGGGATAGTGGGCGGGTGAATGACGGACTAGAACATGATGGGTGGATGGGTTTTTTATAATCCTCAATAAACCCTTCCTGCAAACTCTCGGGGTGGGTGGGTGGTATAAACGGTTTTTTCCCGACCAATTTATCCCCAGTCCAGAGCCCTGATCGCGGCTACTCCTTCTGCAGCTTCTATCTGGCCTCTGCTGCCACCTGCGGAAGCAATGTCTTGTCCGCTCTGCTCACGAGCGCGAACGTTCAACAGTGCGGCACGGACCACTGAGATCCCGGACCAGGCCACCATTGACAAGATGTGCGCCTCGACTGCCTGCAACACCCTGCTCGCTGACGTGAAGGCCATGAACCTGGAGGAGTGCCAACTGCCGGTCGGTGTCAGCTCCAACCTGAAGGCCGACCTGGTAGTCTACGTGCCGTCCAACTGCTCATCGACGTCGGCTCCAAGCCCGGACTCGCCTGCCACAAACGCACCTGTTGTCGACACCCCGACGACGCCAGACAACTCGACGAACCAGGCCGAGCACACTGCCGCGCTAACCAAGACCCCCATCGCTTGCTAACCGCGTCTTCGGATCGACTTGCAGTCAAGTAGCCCTTGCGAGTACTTTGCTGCTTTTTGAGCCCCCCCCCCTATATCGTTACGTTCTGATTATTAACCGTCGTTTGCTATGTGTATGTTGAAGTCGCTCAACCGTTATTAGCGGCTATTATGACCTTCAATGACTGTCATCCTTTGAAACGCTTTAAAAATATTGTCACACACTTTGAAGTAGAAAAGTTTCGTTGAGGTGCTTTTCGCGCACAACAAAGAGTCGGCTGCTCTTGGAGAGAGGGGCGTTAAGATGATTATTGTTTCTAGCTAGGCCAGTTGAGGATGTTTTGAGGACAGTACATGTTGGGCTTGGTGTTGTCCTAATAGGACAGTGGTCTGAGTTGCAGTCTGTCCTAATAGGACAGCTGAGTGTCCAGTTGTCGAGTGTCCTATTAGGACACGCGGACCCTGGCTTGTTTCGTCCTAAAACTCATTGTGTTGTCCTAAATATCGGTTTTTTTATGAGCCGAATTGCTAGTTTTTATCCCAGGTTTTAGGACAATAGGACACTTTAGGACTCCTAGTAGGACGCATTCTCTCCTACCTTGAGGACAGTACATGTTGGGCGTGGTGTTGTCCTAATAGTACAGTGGTCTGAGTTGCAGTCTGTCCTAATAGGACAGCTGAGTGTCCAGTTGTCGAGTGTCCTATTAGGACACGCGGACCCTGGCTTGTTTCGTCCTAAAACTCATTGTGTTGTCCTAAATATCGGTTTTTTTATGAGCCGAATTGCTAGTTTTTTATCCCAGGTTTTAGGACAGTAGGACACTTTAGGACTCCTAGTAGGACGCATTCTCTCCTACCGCTCCACCAGGAACCATGGCGAGTTTTGCCACCTGTAGCCCTTGCCAGCCAGTAAGCTCTCCCAGTGTTTGCTGGTAGGGGATTTGGCAGCTTGTTCGGGGAATGTGGAGGGTAGCGGAACCTCTGCGTTGTTAACCATGTCGTCGGCCAGCTGCAGCAGACACGTCACCGCTTCGGCCGAGAGGTGATCACCATTGCTGGAAACGCAGTCGCGCAATACCTGTGGCATACGCTCCGTGCATGTTGTGTGCGCGAACGTGTCCTGCACATTGGCGACGAGCTCATCCAGCTGCTGCACTCGTGTGATGTATTCGTCCGAGACGCTCATGCTGCTGCAGAGTCGAGGTTGTTGCTATTAGCGAAAAGTGATTATGACTACAACCTGAGATTGTCGTTGGAGTAACTTCGTCCAGCTAACGCATCTTTGATGGCTCAATCAAAAATGCGTTAGCTGATGCTCGTTATTGAAGTTGTATTATTATGCTGCATGACGGTTACATGATATAAGTAAGTACATGTAGTCTGACATCCACTACAGTACTGTACTTCATACTTGTAATGAATTAATAGTTGCTTTCACGTTTTTCACTTTGTTTGAAATTATTGTGCGCTCTTCTCAAAATAAATGAGCGCGCACACAATATTAATACATGTAGCGCAAATCTGCTGTATTGACTTTCCTTCCACTTAAGTACGATCTGAGCCGTTTCAAAATAGGGAAATTTGTGTTGAATTGGACCAAAACGGCAAATTTGGTCGGAATATATGTCGATTATGTGTTCTCGGCGGAAACGGTTTGACTTTTTCATATTTGATGTATTACGTGCTATCAGTCCAAAGGTGTGTTTATGCATTCCAAGCTGCAATCTTGGTTGGACCGTGAGTGGCACTATCAAAGGCGCATTCACCATGACAGTCTCAGCAGAGTTCCTCGCGCGCGTGTACGCAGGAGAGGAGATCTTCACCAATGCCCTGGCACTTTCGCCAATGAATCCTACACGTCTCGGCTACCGGGACTTGTCCGCGACTGCGTGGCCAGCAACCGTGAACGGTTCTCCGAGGAGCAGTGCGAACGCCTGCTGCAACTGGCCGACGACATGGTGAATGACGCCGTGGTCCCATTGCCCTCTCAATATCCCGAACAAGCTGCCAAGTCTCCTACGAGCGCTCAATGGGAGAACCTACTCAAGAATAAGAGCTACACGTGGCAGAACTCGCCGTGGTTCTTGAGCGAACAGTATATGTTGCATCTGGTACTGCTGCTGGCCGAGTACTACACGACGGGCATCGACCCGTTCCATCCTTCTAAAGTGGCGGAACTGAAAGAGGTGACACCTTGGGCGTTGCTTCAGACAGCTGTGGGTTTATCGGCTCAGGAGGAGGCGAGTTCTCAGAGCCGTCACGACCAGCTGAAGCGGTTCATGAAGTTGTGTTTGTGGGGCAACAAAGCAGACGGATGCTACAAGGAAGTGAAGGACACTCTCAGCGAAGCGGGCGCTTCTCTTGTGTTCGACGATGAGCTGCTGCTTGTAGATCACAGCGACAAAGTGATTGATTTCTTGGGGCAGAAGGCACGTGAGGCAGACGCAAAGTCTCTGAGTGTGCAATACATTAACGACAACAGCGGTACTGAGCTTTTGTTGGATTTGGCCCTGGCAGATCACTTACTGGCCCATGGATGGTGCGGTAAAGTGACGCTCAACGTGAAGGTTGAACCGATGTACGTCTTGGACGCGACACCTGCGGATGTGCATGAGCATATAGAGGAGATGCAGCGCGATACCTGCTTGCCGGAAGTTCAGGCTCTGGTCAAGCGTCTGGCAGGGTACGTCCAACGGGATCAGCTAGAGATCCGGCCTGACATCTTCTGGAACCGCTACACCTACTACTGGGAGATGCCCATTGAGCTACAGACTCGTCTTGCTAAGGAGGCGACGCTGGTGATCATCAAAGGCGACCTAAACTACCGTCGTCTGCTAGGAGACCGTCTGTGGCCGCCGTCGACACCCGTGGAGGAGGCCGTACCGTACTTCCCGACGGCTTTTGTTTTGTTTAGAACGATGAAGTCGAACCCTGTTGTGGGTATTCCTGCTGACATTGTGGAGAAGCTGGAAAAGGAAGATCTTAAGTGGCGATACAATGGCAAGCGCGGCACGATCCAGAGCGTCCTGGCTCCAAGCAACCCAGTCAGGTTTCCCCCCGCACGCTGTGCATGAGGATGAAGAGGACGACATCCTGGCGTTCTCGGTTCGTTAGGTTTGGCCTCGAAGTGGCCCCAGCTGAGTCGGCTGCGTTGGTCATGCGGCTTGGAAATGGGGATTATCTGGTGTTAAAGATGCTGAAAATTGTGAAATGGCAAGCTGCTTGCGGTTAATTTCCGTCGATAACTCTGGCGTCTGAGCAGCGTTTTTCGCGCGCAAACCAGCGTTGGAAAAGAGATCACACCGCGACGATTCCGCCAATCAGCACTTCTAAAGCGAGTCTGTAGGAAAAACCACGTTCTTGACTAGGAGACTGTTGCAATTACTACAGTATTACCAACGAGAGGAAGTACTACATTAGCCGCCAACATTTCTGTACAGTAGATGAGAATCAGATGTGGACAGCGTACACGTATTTTTGATAGTTGTAATACAACAGTTGTACCAACATAAGTTGACAAAAAGCGTCTTAATTCTGTTAAAACGAACAATTTGTAGCCTCCTACACAATTTCGACGCTCTGTGCCCGTAAAGAAGTGTCAATAGCTGCGTACAAATAACGTAACTTATTTCTTCTTGGCACCGCCCTTGCCCGAGGCTTCCTTCTTGTTCACCGACTTGATGACACCGACGGCAACAGTCTGACGCATGTCACGCACGGCGAAACGGCCCAGAGGAGGGTACTCCTGGAACGACTCGACGGTCATGGGCTTCGACGGCTCGAGGATGACCATGCAGGCATCACCCGACTTGACGAACTTGGGGGCAGTCTCGAGCACCTTGCCCGAACGACGGTCCATCTTCTCCGTAATCTCTTTGAACTTGCAGGCAACGTGGGCCGTGTGGCAGTCAAGCACAGGCGAGTAACCGTTGCCGATCTGGCCAGGGTGGTTCAGCACAATCACCTGGGCGGTGAAGTCCTGAGTTGCCTTAGCAGGGTCGTTCTTCGAGTCCGAAGCGACGAAACCACGACGCAGCTCCTTGACCGACACGTTCTTGACGTTGAAGCCGACGTTGTCACCAGGGACAGCCTCAGGCAGAGACTCGTGGTGCATCTCGACGGACTTGACTTCAGTCGACAAACCAACGGGGCCGAAAGTAGCGACCATGCCAGGCTTGATGACACCGGTCTCCACACGGCCGACAGGTACCGTGCCAATACCGCCGATCTTGTACACATCCTGAAGGGGCAGACGCAGCGGCTTGTCAGACGGGCGCTTGGGGGCGTTCAGGTTGTCAAGAGCCTCAAGGAGGAAAGGTCCCTTGTACCACGGCATGTTGGTGGAGCGGTCGATCATGTTGTCACCCTCCCAGCCGGAGATGGGCACGAACGGGATCTTGGCGGGCTTGTAGCCAACCTTCTTCAGGTACGTGGTGACCTCAGACTTGATCTCCTCGTAACGGGCCTGGCCGTACATGACAGACGAGTCGTCCATCTTGTTAATGGCGACGATCATCTGCTTCACACCCAGAGTGAAGGCAAGCAGAGCGTGCTCACGAGTCTGGCCCTCCTTGGAGATACCAGCCTCGAACTCACCCACACCCGAAGCGACCACCAGAATGGCGCAATCGGCCTGCGAGGTACCCGTAATCATGTTCTTGATGAAGTCACGGTGACCAGGGGCGTCAATGACCGTGAAGAAGTACTTGGGGGACTCGAACTTCCACAGGGCAATGTCGATCGTGATACCACGCTCACGCTCGGCCTTCAGGTTGTCAAGCACCCAGGCGTACTTGAACGAGGTCTTGCCGAGCTCGGCAGCCTCCTTCTCGAACTTCTCGATGGTACGCTTGTCGATACCACCGCACTTGTAGATCAAGTGACCGGTGGTGGTCGACTTACCGGCGTCGACGTGGCCAATAACGACCAGCGAGATGTGAACCTTTTCCTTGCCCATAGTTAGCTGCAAACAGAGTAAAGAGCAGATTAGACTCTAAAAAACTCGAAGTGGCTTGAGATTTCTCAGCTGTATATGGCTAGAGCGAGCGCTTACCTTCTTCAAACAAAATCTGAGAGTGGGAGGATCTTTTTCATCGAGTGGCTCGGGCTGCACGCGGGTGGACGAATGGCTACCACATAAAACTGCGATTTTAACATGATTTTGACCAGTCACCACAGATTTAGTGCGTGATTGTGACCAATGAAAGAGAGAAACGCTCCAAACCAGTGATTTGTTGTGTCTGGGACTGATGAACCAACACTGTATTCCTATCTAGGGGTGTTTCAATCGTGGTGGCTTAGCCAAGTGTACCTTCTAAATGGTACATTTTTAAAAAGCCAACCGCAAGGAAAGCTTTCTTTCACTTACGAAATTGTATTCGGAGGGTATTTTATTTGAGCAAGCCAACAACGTTAAAATTTAACCATTCAATGGATGATGGCTTGAAAACATCGGTAGCATTACCTCTCACCTCCTCTCCCTTGTAATATGAAGTACAAAATCACCAAAAAAGACTATTCTGAGGTGCTTAAATATGTGAAAGCCCTATTGTGCAGCAGCATGTATTAATATGCATGTAAAGAAAATATTATCTGAGCTGCGTGAGTGCATGCTTTTGACGCCTTTATCTTGTGTGGCCTTTGGCCCTGAACATGTCTTATTATTAGCAACAATCTTTATTATGAGCATAAAAAGGCTGAAGTGACGCTTTGAATTGCTGCTATCATTTTGGCTAGGTAGAATACTTCAAAAGTTTATTGGGCCCATTTTTAAATGTATCAGCCCATTCCCAGATTACACATTTTCGTTGAAGCGCCCCGATAAGATGCGCACGCCGGTGGAACCAACGACCTCTGGCTCTGTGGGGTCTGCCTTAGCGCACTCGGTACGCGTGAAGTCTCCTCTTCATGATTTAGTGTGAAGCGCACACTGCAAACGATGTTGGCGCTCAACAGCTACGGCCTGGTGGCAGTATCGCGCTCCGGTGTTGCAAGCAATAACGCCGCTGACCGTGTGATCCTCCCTCGTCTGTGCGGCAGCGGCCTTCCTGCCGTTCGTGAAATCCGCTCGCTGACCAAGCTGGACATCCTGTCGCGTGCGCCCGAGCACCCTTTGTATCGCACCACGTCAGGCTTCGACTATGGTTGCTACGTGGATTCCAAGGACCTGGCGCTCAGCTGCCCCAAACACGCGAGGCCCGCGGGTTTCACGAAGGAATTTATTGCCGGTAACTACACCGACTATAGCCTCTTGTCACTGGAGAATACGAAGCGACGGGCCGAGAAATGGCAGCAGAAGATGGACGTGCGCACCTCGCAAATGCGCGTTAAATACGTCGAGCTGCAGCAAGTGCTGGAGCAGAAGAAGAAGTTGCGTCGCATTGAGCGGGAGAAGCGACGCCGCGAGATGGAGATTTTGCGGCTAGCAGTGGTGCACCTCCAGGCTAGAATGCGAGGGTATCTGACGCGATGCTCGCTCGCGCAGGAGAAGCTGGAACGGGAGACAGAGGCGGCTCTGTGTATTCAGCAAGCGAGTCGAGCACATGCACGAGTACGGGCTGCCAAGCAGATATTGAAGGCTAAACGACGAGAGAGGCTAGAGTTTTTTGCAGTGAAGATCCAGCGCATATGCCACAACTTCATCCTGCGCCGACATGCTACACGCCAGTTGCAGAAGTTGCGAGTGGCCAAACGACAGAAAGCCATCGCGTTGGAGCATGAAGTTCAGCGCCAACGCACTGGTGCTGCGAACCAGATTCAACGTCTGGCACGAGGCCACCTCGCTCGGAAAGATCTACAGCGTCGGTCGTCCAGTGCGTCAAGTGTGGCATTTGACAAGGACGACAAGGAGTCGCTGCTCGCAATCACTGGTCGCATGCGCAGTCGTGGAGCACGTCGCGTTATTGCGCAGATGCAGCAAGTGCGTCGGAAGCACACGAAAGCCACGGTCCGCATTGCTAGTCCTCCATTAAAATGAGCTTACGTACTTTTTTTAGGTACTGTAGTAAAACACCGTGCATTTCATCGTCCTCACCATTTCTTAGTACTACATGTAGTAACTCGAGTCTGGGGGGCATCTATTCTGTGTCCGAGTGCGGAAAAAAGCCCAGGATATCCTTAATGAGGATATTCCACACGACTTGCACAGCGACCTCGGCAACGATAAGCCAAATCACGATCATCTCTAGCTTCGTGTCGTGCTGGTGCGCGAGTTGTTGGCTTAGCACATCAAGTCTGCATAAATTGGGAGCGCAAAAGAGATTAGACCAAACCCAAGCTGTAGAATAGATCGGAGCTGTCCAAATGCACAAAATCGAGCTCCACGTACAGCTCGCGAAGAATATCCAGACGTGTGTTGAGGATCTGGACTCGGTTATCCACGCTCAGGTACTTCATCACCTTCTTGTACAGCGGTTCGTACTCGTCGTCTTCCCAGAAAAAATCTGGCTCGTCCAGCATGTCCGAGTTCAAATTCACATCGCTCCGCTGCAACAAACACCACACTCGTGTGAGAAAATGGATGCAAATGGACGGGAACAAACATGTAATGGCCTTCGCTCACCTCGATAAATAACCGACCGATAAGCTTTGAGATATCGCTCTGCGAATACTGAATCGAACCTGTGGCCGCAAGGTTCTGAGGCACGTGCTTTGTCTCACGGATGGTTTCCTCCACGCGCTCCTCGAAGACGTCCAGCTTCGACGACTGCGCCATGGCGAAGGAAACCGCTAGCTTCTCGGACGCGCGGTTACTGCTAAGTGTAATAGCGTCGTTGCAGATGAGACTTGCATCTCCGTAGGTGTAGTCCATGTCTTCGACCTCAACCTGCTTAACTGGACCCACCGAGAATGCTCCTAACGCCACCAGATGCGCCTGTTCCTCCGCCCTTGTCAGCCCCCAGAAGACTGCACACCCCGTCCTGCAACGCAAACAAGCGCAATTCCCGTCAATTAGTAAGGCAAAGTCAATTTTAATGTCCACACATAGCAACGCACGCGAAGTAGAAGGCATCCTTCTGGTGATACGGCGCCCGCGATCCCTCCCTACACTCACACAACATTATCCAAAGAGTGTCAGCCCTTCTAGTGATCTCTTTTTCCACTGCAAGCAGTTCTTATCTACTTACTCATGATCCGGGGCCGGCGCGCAGCTGGAGTGTATCGCACCCATGTACATTTTGTGTCTCCACCCGTCAGGATGCAGCTCTCCTCCGGGCAATTGGCCTGTTTCGACCCTCTCAAGCCACTTGAGCAACTTGAACAGCTGCAGTTGGTCGCACGTGCAGTAAGCGGACACGCGAAGCTTGGGGGAGCTCGGCGGTTCTCTCAGCTGCTTCTTAATGGTTCGCATCCTCGAGCGTCGGGTCGTGTGGCTCACTGTCCCCGGGGCCGGGAGCGGCTTCGGAGGTCCGCGTTTGAACCTGCTGCGCGTCCCAAGTCCATGCCAATTGGTCCGCGGGATCTGTCGGAAGGCGTCCGACGACTGCTGTCGATAGCTGGTGGGGGAGAACTGATGGTCTAGATCGCTGAAGTCCTCGTGCTCGTCACTGTTGCTGCTACTGCTGCTGCTGGTGCCATAGTCGTCGGCCCCAAAGTAACGGCGCGAACCGTTGCCGTTGTCCTCCTCCTTGCGGTCGTAAACTGCCGAATCAGAGTTGTAATTGAGAGAGATACTGCCAGGGGGTAGCAGCGGTGAGCTCTCACTCGCGTTGGTGTCGTCCTGCGACGGCGGGCTGCGGGTGCGTCTGGAGCTCATGAAGGCGATAGTTTGCGACTTTTACCGAACTTTTTTTAAGAAGTAACTTTTATTTTAGAGCAACAAACAGCTTTAAAAAAAAATTAAAAAGACACGTAGTAGTTTTAAAATTCTATTTACATGTACATACTTTCCAACCGTGATAACCCCTTTTATATTCAAAATAAAACTGGTACAGTACAGAAGTTTCCCTAAATTAGCGTAGCTCTGTATTTTGTATACCCTCCTATTGTCCGCTTAAAATGATGTAAAAAAGGCGTTCTCTGAAGGGATCTGCCTTATTACCTCTGAAAATATATAGAATGTAAACACCACGCTTATTCAGGGGATTTATGACCGCACTCGAATACAGTATTTTTTTAGAGATGGAGATAATGACAACAAATTCGACATCTCTCAGTGTCTCCAAGGATATTTCAACAAATCATATACACTTAATCTGCCACGCCATCATTCGAATAAATGGCAGCTATTCCCTCCCTGCCTTCAGTCCAAGAAGCACAAGAGCCCCCTGCCTCAAGTATAAGGAGCTTAAGCCGATGCTTGGCAGCACTATACCTTAGACTTGCACTGCCCTGGGATTACTTGAAGCCCTCTCAGCCGAAACGTTTTGGCTGCCGCCATGTCCCAAGCTGCAGCAAGCTACTTGGCGCTCTTGGTGGCCTGGAAGCGATGCTTCATGGTAACGAATCAAAGACACAGCAGCTCTTCTGCTGCCTTTGGCGTCCAAGCAAACGTAACGTCAGCTGTCGCCGCAGCCTTCTTAGTACTTTTCCGCGGCTTTTGAGTGGACGGTAAGCAGATATAGCATCTTCACCACCACCGATGCTCACAGGTGTGGGGGCAATTGTAGTTGCAGACCGCGCAACCAGACGTTTGCGCGAGAGACACAGAAGAAGCGACAATATCGTCGGCGCTGGTGTCTACTAACAAGTTCTCCGAGCTTGACGTTGTGGGGTCGCCACAGGCATCGCTCGTAGCTGCCCCTACCGCGAAGTCACATATAATTTACAAGGAGGTTGTATGGTATTTAGCTAACAATAGAGAGCTTAAGCAGTTCAGAACGAAACTAAAATCTGAGAAAATCTAAGAATTTCTGATAAATTTTGTTGTTTTTCGTCTCGTGTTATTGTCAAGTTGCGTTGCGCTCTAAACAACGAAACGGAACCAGGTGATAGCCAGTGTCAAATCTACGCCCTCCAAACGAGATGGAATCGGACAGCGACGACGACGTTCTCGAGTGTCGTCGCGTGGCAAGGAAGATGCTGGATGCCTCACGGATGAAACGACTACATGGTGACTGGGAGACCATTTCAAGACTTCGTTATCGGGGGCTGACGCTACTCTATGACTCAAAGCCTCGGTTTTCATTACTAGGTGTTCGATTTGATGTCAACGACGTCACCGACGACACATTTCTGACCTTCTATAAATTAACCCATCGACAACTACGACGTTTACAAGCTTCGTTTAAGTTACCGGACGTGATCCGGACAGGTTCGCACTCGCGTGCATGCTGTAGTGGGGGTAGAGGGCCTCTGTATCACGTCTAGCGTACCCTACAAGATGGATGGATATGGCTACAATCTACGGAAGGTGGCCAAGTGCTCTAAGTAGTATTTTCTACTTTGTCATCGGATTGATTAGTGAGAAGTTTGGTCAAATACTACTGGGGAACTTAAAATATGCTAGCTCTAGACTGCAAACGTTTAGTGAAGCTATTTGCAACCAAGGAGGCGAGCTAGACTGTGTTTGGGTTTTGCGCTGTTCAAGTTTCACCACTTCTTCACAGATTAGACCCTCATCTTCAGACGCATGCGGGTGCAGTGCATCTCCAACTTCTTCTGGGGCAGGTGAAGGTTCTTCTTGCCCAAGCTGAATAGATGCAGTGGCGCCATAGCCGAGCAGGTCGTCTTGGGAGCTGTCGCTATCTTCCATTAAGATGCAGCCTGAGGGAAGTTTCCGATGTGATTTGATTCGTTTCGTACAGTAATTATTGCTTAAGCTGTCATCTGGAATATTCGAAACGAAAGTTTCCATCGAGAGTTTTGTCGTTGCGAAAACTTGTTTCGTATTGTAGCTTAAAGGCTATAATGAGTTTGTATGAAGCACAATGCTCTAGCTGAAGCACACGCACAAGCAATACATTGCGTACCGGGTAGCTTTGCATCAACATAACGGATAAGCAATTAAAAGAGCCACTGTGATACGAGATCATGCGTGATGTGTGGAGCGATCGAGACGGGATGGGTGCCGACCCATTCTTCTCAAGCGATGTCCCGGATCCAATGGAGAAGAGCTCGGTAGCGTAGACGCGGCCTGCGGGGGGGGGGGGGCAATGAAACAAACGATGATAGCTTTGGTTCTGGAGAAACCCGTAAGTGGGGACGTACACTGGAAAGCGCCCGGGTGGCAGGTTTGAAACTGCAGAGGGCTTGATATCGCTGGACACGGGCTTCACAGTATAGCAGATGCACTGAAGGTGTCAAGAGGATCAGGAGATCAAAACCACAGCCAGGGGTTGTTAATCTCTATGCGAGAGCTTTTCCAAATAGTTCAAGCGCAGACACATGCGTTGAACAATCTACTTTAGCAAAATGGTGCCAACATTCGTGGTGATGTAAACACCAGCAAGTCGTCGTCGCTGCTGTTATCAGTGTACTGAATGATGCGCGCACTATCCAGGTATCGGATCATCAAATTGTGCAAACCCATTGGAGCTAGAACAAATTCAGCAGCACTACGAGGTGTTTTGTTTTGCCCATCACACCTTGTAGCATTTGATAGCGCCTCTACCGAATACCAGAGGTACCGTATCGTCTTAGTCGTTGGCGACAATGGGCAGACATAGATTGTAACGAGCTAGTAATTCAAATCCCAAGATTTAAGATAAACAAAGTGACGATTTAGATCATGGGTAAGCACACGATAAACATATTAAATGCAAATGTATTTATCATTTGTCCTCAATATCAATATCGTTCTCAGCCCCGCTGTATTCGCTTCCTATATCATCGTCAGAAGTGATTTCTTCCTCTGCAATTTTGTAGCGCTCTAATTCGATAGCAATAGTGTCAAGTTGCTCGACGATGTCTTCTTCTATGTCGACCTCCCGAACATCAGTAAGGAAGCCTGCCCTCGCAAAACCACTTATTATTGTCTTAGATGACAGCTTCGACCAGCAAGAAGTGATCCATTCCGTCATCACAGGTCTTGATGGAGCGACCAGCGAGAACTTTTCCACATCGAGTTTTTTTCTAAGGGTAGCCACTTTTCGACTCGTATTTTCTTGATCAAGTTTTGTTTGAGCAAGCAAAATTTCATCTTCGATTTGTTTTTTGCGCTGAAGTCGCTCTTGTTCACCGCTGTTGTATGTACGAAGTTGCTGTCTAATAGAATCAATCCACAGTGCGCGAAGCTCACTTTTAAAAGGTTTATTCCACGAGATGTCAGCAGGCTGACACACATATGTATACTTAGGGGGCACCTTGAGCAGAACAACATTTAGAGAGGCTGCAAAATCACGAACGGTCTGGGTCCAATGTGCGCTAAAGTCGTCCCATAGTAAAAGCACATTTTCGTGACGATTTTCACGGTAAGCGAAATGATACTCCAAAAATTTGATCGAAAGTTTCTCGTTCCACCATGCCGTGTTGTTGCCGTAAATTCTACACGGATACTTATCCTGAAGTTTTTTGATTTCGCGCCAAACTGTTGTACCAAACCCGTTTCGCAAGGTGTCATTTTCTTTCTGCTTGCTTTTTGTTTTGGACGGTGCGGCTTTAAACAAAACAAAAGTGTCAAATTTGTTTCCACTTGAATCGCCAAGTAACATAGCTGTCGCCCTTTGTTTGTCCTTATTTCCGCATCGAATCCAAACCGTCTTCGTACCTTTATCTGTAATTGTTCGCTTAGGAACGTACTCGAAAAAAAACGGCTACATTAAGCGAAAACGTTATTATATTATAAAACAAAAAATAAGAAAAATACAAGTTTTAACTTACCCGTTTGGTCTGCATTAAATACCTGGACACATTTTTGTTCAACAATTGTTTGCAGTACCTTTGACCTAAATTCTTTGGAGACTTGTGCTGCGTCTTCAGGGGTTGTTTGCCCTTGGCGCGTCTTGGATCGTAGAGAAAGCTTCTGGCGGCGCATGAACAGCTTTATCCACGATGGGGACGCCGAAAACTGATCTTCCGTAAGCCCACAGTCCTCTGCCACCTCCAAACCCTTAAGTTTCATCATCGTGCGCGACACCGGCGCGCCGTCCTTTCTAAGAGAGTTGATCCACAGAACAATTTCTTCTTCAGCCTCTTTAGATAGCACTGTTGCTGTACCACGCTTACGAAGATTGAGGTGGCGTGAATGCCCGCTTTCGCAAGCCGATTTAATCGTCGCATCGTTACCGCGCCATTTACTTATAAGTTGCTGCTTTGATCGTCGCTCCTTGCCGGTCAAAGTACCGTAGAAGTAGTCCAAAGCTTCACTAGGCGTATGGCCTGCTTCTAAGTAGGTGATAATCTCTTGCTTGTGGCCATACTCAACACGAACTCGCTTGTATTGTTTGCGCTTCTTTTTCGTGCCCTTGATGGTTGGCCGTGCCATCCTGGTTCAAGTGTGCAGGAACGAATTGGTTTCCTAAATACTGAAAATTAGCTGACCGTTAATTTTCACCTTCTGTTTTTTTTAGATCATCCTATTGGCTAAAGAGGGCTGTCGCTTAGGACCAAACGTCGCCTATTACTAAGACGATACTCTCTACAGTCATGCGAGTGCGAATGCAGGTAGTTAAACTGCTTCTGTCGTGGCGCTAGTACACCGCCCTCCTCGCAAGCACAGTAGGGCTATCAGTCCAGGAAGCAGCGCTTAGCCAGCATCTCCAATAAAATGAGTACTAGGTGGTATAGTCCTGTACGGAGTTCAACACACCTTGCTATACTGCCTGCACTTCCGATCCGACCATTAGCCAGGACAAATATGTCAGCACTCAAAATAGATTGGTTTTGGCTACGGATCGCCTG